AGATAGATCAATCGAGGGGGGGGAGGGGGGGGGGATTTATTAATGCGAAGTGAACATTAATTGCCACAAAATCCCGTCTTTTGTTGTTTGATTTCTACAATATTTGTTTTGCTGATCCCTATCTGTTTTTTCTTGATCCCTATTTTGTTAAGCCCACCCTCCCGAAAACACACCATTGTAACCCTGCACACACAGATGTTGCTGCCGGTTTTCCTTCGCAAGTGCGGCCAGGTGCGTGCATCATTCACCGACAATGGAGGCATGTCACCCAATCGCCACGACAGCAGCTGCATGAATGTGGCTGCAAGCTCCCCCCAAGCTTACTTGCCACCTGGGCCAACGAGGCCCTCAGCATGGCGATCCGATGGATAGGTGGCATGGATGGCAGAGTAGCAACCTGCCAGACCGTACTATCAAGAGGCTGGTCCGCGGGTCTGATACTTCACGCCAGGAAGCAAAAGCAAATAATCCACGGGATCATGGTGCACACGGCCATCGCTGTGCCCAGCGACTCTGCATTTCCCTGTCGATGGTTCTCCTGGGAGAGATCTTGACAGGCCAAAGTCAATTTTCATTCCTGTTCTTGCCTGACCTACACAACCTCGATCCAAATGTACGCCGCGTCACAGCACCAGGCTGATAGCCAAGCACGCTCACGCATATGTAGCCAACCACCGGACCTAGATTCTGATTTCTGGCAAACCTTGAATCTGAACAGAACCTATTGAGGCATATGTCCTGTGTCTGCTTCCCGTCAAGATTTGCTGCGGCTGTCGCTTGCCAATTCAAGCCGGGGCACCTGCGAAAATTGACCCAAAGGACTGGGCAATGGCTGTCCTGCCAACAACAGCTGATCCTTTCTCACTTCGCAGTAGTTGCAGGTGCAACTGTCAGCGTGAAAGCAGCTGCGGAAAACCGTAGTCCACCAGGCAATGGTCTTGCCGCGACGTGTCGGGCTAACCAACCTCTGTCACATTCTGCAAACTCTAGAGACGAGTGACGCATTCCAATAAACCAATAGCCTCCCACTGTAAGGTCAGCCAAAACAGGTCAATTGATGTCCAGTTCAAGTCTCCCAGCAAGGTTGCGGTTGCTGCATCAGAAATGCTGACAATTTGCTCAGACCAAAGAGGGCGGTCAACTCCTGGATTGCACCAGCTCGCCTGTAACTCACTGGAGGCATGAATGCGACTCCTTCCGTTCTAATTGCAAGGCGAGGTAAACTGCTAGGTCCGCAGCCAGCACTGAGAATGAGAAAAGTGCAGCCGCAAGGCTGGACGGAGCTCCTTAGCGGCTTCTACCCTCACAGTGTCACACCTTGCGAGCTCATTTGTTGAAAGACATTCAGAGAGTAAGGCGTGCATGAGCCCTCATGTGTTTGTTGCTGCCGGCATGTTATTACGTGTAAGGTGAGGGAGCACCCATAAGGAGTCAGGCAATGTAGTATTAGTGGCACGATTTGCATCAGAGTTCGTACTGTGTAGCCTGAGCAGTCAGGTTGCTGGCGTTGAAGCGACAGCAAATTGGAGGTGGTGCGAATTGCGTGCATGCAATTGTCTGTGCCGTTGTTCGGTTCTTGGGCTCGGCATTGGTATCTGCGCATCATGACCCAATACCTGTTAGCCTAACTTTTGTGCATCTTTTGTTGCATCTGGGCTTAGCAGTAAGCTAGATTCAGCTAGATGCAAAAGAAGGGGGTGCCGCTGCTTGTTTACCTGAACTTAAAGTTGAACTTCAAATTGAACTAGGAAAGTGAATGCAAGATCGAGAAACTCACGTGCCCACCTCCAGCAAAGCATTCTGGCCGTGCGGCGTGCAGCAGAAACTCCACAACTTACACGTTCGTGTACTTGGGCCGGTGGAGTGGAATGTTGAAACCAAGTTGACACGACAAGGCCTTTGAGCTTTGTAGGGAGGTAAAAACCTTATCCTGGATAGTTAAAGCCAGTTTGAAAGCGGCGTGAAGACTGGCCATTGCCGAGCGGCGGACAGAATGGGGATAACAGCGTAAAGCCCAGTACCTTGACAGGCCACAGGCTCCAGCTTCCGTCATGGAGAAGAAAATTTGACACAGTAAGGATGGTTGACGGCAGCAAGCGCCCCACCCTGCTTAAAATCTAGCTGCAAGGGGGCCATCCCCATGATGATGGACGTTTGGGCTACGAAGGCGCGGCCATGCAATGGTGAGAGGCCAGCGACGGTATCTCCCAACAGGCCTCACCACATGGCCAAGGGAGCTATAGATATAGAATATCTCGCAAAAGCACCTGTGGAATCTTGATTGGCTCATCCGACGAAATGAATTAATTTAGTCACAAACCGGCACCACGGCCTCCGACAAGGCAGCCAAGAATTCGGCCGACAGACATAACCTTCGTCAGATAAACGACTAAGGCCCAAGCCAAAAGCTGCAGCATACGCGCTGCAGGGAGATCAACACTCAAAGGCAGGCCCAATCGCCCTAATAAACAGCGGTGCCAAGCAAACCTGATCACTTCCAGCATAAAACGAAGGAGTTCAAGAAAAATGACTAAGCCGATGCTCCAGTCTTGCCGCGTTGCCCGATGGTCTGTGTCAACTCAAGGACTCTTGCATGCGGACACCGCCCAACTGAAGTGCAATCAACTACAAGCATAACATCCTCAACCGGACGCCTGCCCCTTTGGGTTTGTTGTATGTGGTAGCAGGCTGATGTTCAAGGCCAGAAACGGCCAAGAGCAGAGCTGCGTGGGAGGAGTCAAAGCCCAAATCTTGAAGGAACATCATCCTAGGCAACAGTGGTTGAGTAGCAATGTGCTGACGGCCACTCCGCCTGTCCCTGCCAAGAATCATGAAGCTTAATGCGCTCCAAGGGATGCAACCTTGGCTGTAAGGTGTATACAAAACCTCTCCCCAGCAAAGCCATGAAATTGAGGAAACTGCAGCTGGATCCAAAAGTTGTGGGGCGACTGGGTTGGGTTGACCGGCCTTTTTGGCATGAGGGTTCGAAACCCAGGCAGCCAGGTTGCCAACCACACCTCCCAGCCTTAGCTGTTGGCAACCGGGTTTTGACGGTTCATGGAAAACCTCCTGCTTTTTCGACTTCGCGCCCGTTCTGAGTTCAACTTTGGCTGTGGGTGTTCCCGTCAAGCATGCAGCACAGCAAGAAGAGGGATGGAGCATAGATCCTCCCTGGTCCATGGGTGCTACGACCTGCTGGGCATTCCGGGCGAGGGACAGGAGAGCCTGGAATGTTGGGATGCGGAAGATCACTTGCAACTGTTCCATTTCCGTCGCGACCGCACCTTGAGATGCCCACACGGCAGGGAATCCAAGCAGCAACGGAAATCTTCTTCCAAACACAACACGTGATTGAACATGAATTCCCGAATGACTTCAGGGTGCCTGCTAGGGTCCTTTCAGAGCACTGACGTCGTTCTGCTGGAAACATCGCAAGGAGGCACAACGCCAGCCTCGCAGTTGATCAAGCTGCTTGGTCAAAAAATGAAGGTGCCGAACACATTTTCCTGTGGATCCAATCACTTGCGTGCTTCCCCCCCACCCGCTGCCACCTTGTTACGCAACATTGTTCGTGAATGCTCGATACATACATGCCACACGAGCTTTGTGGCAAAGGTGCTCTTCGCTGCAAAGCAAATTCTGTTATAAGCCTATGTCGAGGAATGGCGTTACCCACGCAGCGTTTCTGATGATGGGAAGGTCAACATGTTAAACCACATTTGTCTTTGCGCTCTTGGCGCGGCAAATGGGTGAATCGGTCAGGAACTCTGCAAGCCTATTCCCGAGATGCAGCTGACAGGTTCTTGCACACATGGCTTTGCACTTGGATAGTCTAGTTGCTTGATAATGCTTGCTTCTGTGGGCTCAGGTCTATGACGCTGAACTTTGGCAGAGTTGGGCCCCACCTCCTTGTCATACCTACTTTTCTTCCAAGGCTCTGTGGTTTCTGCAATTCATTCTGCTGTGCTCTACGAGACGAGTCTAGCACATCTTGCATACCCTTCAAAACTGCTGAGCTCCGAGTGTCACAAGCTGAAGTAGCTTGGCTCCTGGATGCTGTTGGCAGGGTTACTTTAGGGAACTTACTAATTAGTTTTTTGAATCCGTGCTTGGCCACAAGCGTGTGACGGGGGCATCCTGTGCTCCGCAATAGGAAAATACTGCATGGCCGTGGAAAATCCCAGAAGCGCGAACCCACGAAGGAGGCAGTACTAACTAGTATTAGTAGTATTTTGGGTATGGCTATGAATACATGTCTTCCTGTTGATGTTATTTTTGTGCCAACTTGGGCGCTGACAAGACTGTGCCAGCGCCCATAAAGCGATAAGCGTCTCTCCAGGGAAGGACACCAGCAATGAGTGCTGAAGTCAGGCCAGAGAAGCCTTAGCAAAAGGTTTGAGAGGTTTAGGGATAACATCCCCGCCAAATGGTTGTACCATAAGGACAATGGCCCAAGATGGAAATTCAAATGGAAAATGACATGAACACTGTGATTCACTTTAATATTTTATAGGGAGGAGGGACTTTCCTGCCCAGGCACCAGAGCACATGGCTAAAGATGCAAAGGCCACACCCCTGCTGCTTGCCTCAAAGGCGCACGGATGCGTAGGGATTCCAATTTGTTGGCTACTAGTAAATGAGGAGCAAGCACCTAGTCTTGGCCAGATGCTCAGAGGGAAAGAACACCAGCATTTCGAACAGCAGGAACTTGAATTCTGTGCTTGATTAGCTTGACACGGGGAGCCCTTCCCTCAAAACGCCAGCGATGCTACCTCCACTTTCTCGCTAACCAGACTCTGCGTGACAGGCGTCACCGCCGCTGCAAAGAATGCTATGGACATCTGTGTTGAAAAGAAACCTGGCAACAGTCTGGCAACGCCATGGCATCATGGCATCCGGGATTTCAGAGGCTTTTAACTCGGAGCCTCGCAGTGACGCAAGCTGTGGGGTCAACCTGAGCTGTTTAGGCTGCAGAGTAACTGAGTCGGGCTGTAAACGGCGCAGAGTGCACACACACCACTCCAATTTCGAGACAGCAAGACACAATGTGAAGATGCCTGCCAGCATCACCGAAGAGACCAGAAGTTTCTTCCTGCAGCCAATTCTGTGCTTTGAGTTTGGGCATATAAGGCCTTGGGGCATCTTCATGAAACCAGGGCTCGAAACTGGGACGCCATTATTCACGTGCTCCTGTCCATATGGTCAGCGAGGGATCCCCAAAGGACACCTTGCGCGGAGCAAAGGCAATGAGTCAGAATCTACAGGAATTCAGCTTGAGCTCCACTTTGCGGGTTTCGGTTCCGGGTCCAAGAAATCTGGCCTGACAGGCTGTTTGCGAGACCCCTGGCCATCAGCAGCCTTCCCAGCACGTCAGGTGCAAAGCCGAACTCCTTCTCCAGCCTGAACTGGCAAACGGCACGTGATCAAAGCTACCGGGATCACCATGGGTTCGTGCCAGCATGGGGATTTTGCACACATGTTTCTTTCAGACTGCTGTGCACGAGCAAATCACCGGCAGCGCGCAGCTTTCCAATCCCTCTCGATGATTTGCAGAGGCCAGGGGCTGCATGAAAGATGAGGCAAGCAAGCCGATGTCAATCCTCAGCTTAGTGCTTAAGCCTAGCACACACGTGCTCACTGCCAGGTTCAAGCAGTACTCGGCTTAACGTAAAGTGTGAAGCTGGAATGCCAAGCAGCACGAACTGTCATTCCGAATCTTCTCTAATCTGCTCTGTCTTTGTGTACACACTGTGTAGACGTCTAAGTATATACATGTATAAATGGTCCCCCAATTGACCCACCTTTCCCCCTTCTTGTCTGCCCAGGTATGCACCACAGGGCAGTCCTGCATCTTGGGTGCAGGGTTTGGGTTTGCATGTGGCGTTTACTAAGATTGTAAAAGAAAACACATTCTAAACAGTGCAAAAAACGTTGGGAGGCTCCAAACGACTCAAACTTTTGGAGGTCTTGGGTCAGCATGTTGGAAGTCTGGGAGCTCCAAAGCAGTGAGAGCCCACAATCCATCATTACCGCTTAACTGAAAGGTGAAACTTGGAATCCTTAAATTCTGGTTTTGAATGTGGCTTTCCTTCATATGAATGCATCTTAACATCGAGTTACAAATTAAAGGAAAATCTTGGAATCCTCGATTTTTGAGGTGCTGGAGCTGATTTGCTTCAAAAACTACTTTCTAAATTTACGTAGAAAAAAAAGCAAAATCCTGGAATCCTGGCTTTGGATGTGGTGTTGCTTTCTATAATGGAAATCAAAGGGAAATCTCTTGTTGGAGATAGCTTTTCGCTTATATTAGTTCCTTTTCGACTCAAATTATATCTTTTATCCTTATAATTGGTACTATTATCAACCCTAAACCCCAAGCCCTAACTATTCTTGCTACTACTTCATTGTCAGAGTGGGATGTTGAGCAGAGCTGAGCCACTCGTCAACCAAGCCCGCCATCATCGCCGCCGCGAGGACGCCTCTTCGTTCCGCCTCACTGTCATAATAGTATAAATATGTATAGCAGTAATAATACTCTTACTATTATTAATACATGATATGTTCCCTTACACTCCCTACTAACCGCCAGCAAGCTTGGTTGAGTTGCTGTTCTCTTGCCTACTGCTTCTGGGAGGTCAAGCACCTTCGGGACCGCAGACGCGGAGGGTTCTGGACTTATTCCGGAAGCCTTAGACCAGGACAAGCATTGCCATCAAGACACTGTTGCAAGCCCATTGGGGCATTCAGGCCTGTTCTTAAAGGTTGCCATCCTTGAGCAAGATGGCTGTAGGTCAAAAATGCAGGCACCTAGCTTCAATGAAATCCACCCACGGCCTTCGCATCGTACTGTACACTTTTTCACGCATATGAACTCAAACGGTGCGCAGCACACACTTCTGTGGGCAGTCCGGGAAGGGAAGTGTCACTGGCATCACCGATACCTCTGTTGAAAGCTTTAAGCCTGTAGGCCAGTGGAAAGTTAAGAAGAAAGCTGTCCATCGGCCATCAGATGGGGGAGTCGCGCTGGCTTCCCAAGTGAGGCTCCGATGATCTGTCTGTTGAACTTCAGAGCCGCTCCAAGCAACAGCCTGGTTCACACAACCTGGATATCCCGCGTGGCCACATTTGCGGCAAGATTCTCCCGTGTCAGCGTTGTGCAACCGAAAGTCTCGCCTTTTTGAGTTGCAGGTGGTGGCCTGCCAGAAGATTACCTGTGATGGTGCTGGGCCGGCTTTGTCAAGCTTGGCTGTGATGGCACCTGTTGATTGAATTTTCCAGGAGAGTCGCGGAAGTGCAGCTTTTTCTCCATCCTGCACCGGCACAGTCACACTACCAGTAACCAGCACGAACAGAAGTACGTCACAGAAAATGCCAGACTTCTTTCTTGCTCCGGGTCCTGGCTCTGCATGACGCCGATGAGAAAGGCACTTACCGGCCCAGCCAAAGCCTGGATCTGTTGTTTACCAATAATGTGCCCGCTGTTGGGCACCATAAGGTGCCTGAGTAGGCGAAGCATCAGAGCAAGCACGCACCGAGTACGGCATTGCGTTGGGCCTTCTTGCTGTCAAGCAACGATTTGGGATCCGGCAACGCCGGCCACCAAACGCGCGTGTGATCAGGAACGAAATATTCATCGTTTGCGGCATTGATGACCAACTTGTGTAGTCCAGCGAAACGCTCTCTATAGGAGTATGCGTCCGTAATATTGAGGAACCACTGGCCTTGGAGCGATTCCGAGATTCGTTCCAACCTCACATGCATGAGACATACAAAGCAAAGAGCGGGCTTGGGTCTGAAGGTGGCCAAGATTGGCCAAGTAATTCACTCAAAAGTTCTACCCATTTCCACGCATGGAAGATGAGACAGCTTACTTTGTCCAGCCAAGAACATGCCAGTCTTGGCGTACGCAGAAACCGCCTGCGGCAGTCCGCCTAATTCCTTCTGTGTGAGTTCCACGAAATCTTGCATATTCAGGGCTTTAGCAATCGGAATGATGGCCCGCACCTCAGAATTGCCAGTGCATTTACACAGCTTCTTCTTAGTATCCGACGCAAGTATAAGAAGCTACTCGCAGGCATGCAATCAAGTCGCGCGGGGATCTACCGATGCTGCATGCCAGCAGACATGTCCTCTCTTGCCTTGGCCGCTTCTAAATTCTAAGGTGAGGCTTCGAAGGTTCCACGAGCACACTTCAAAAACTTGCGCATTCCTGAAGTGAGGCGCTGGTTCCCATCACTGCAAACTTCATCTTGCTTGAAAGACCCGGGAAGGATTCTGCACGCGCGAAATCACCTCGGCAACCATGAGCAAACATTAGGTCAGTGGTCTCTTGCTGTGCTCAATTCAACCCACGACTTGTATCCAAGGGGCTTATCGTGTCCAAAGCACGCACAGCCGCCTTCCAGGAATGTGTCAGCAGCAACAATGTCTCACGACGATATATCACGCGCTCCCAAGAGCTCGCGCCTTCGTCATGGGCAGCTCCAACAGCAGCTTGGGCTCCGGCTGCCAGGGCCCAAAAGGCGCGCGACCAAAGCTAGCCCAAGCATAGGACAAAGTCCCATCCTGCATGAAACTAATTTTGAGATCTATGCCATATCACGCCAGAATGCCAGCGTAAGAAAAGTACAGCGATGTCCTCTACCATAGGGCCTTTGTATTCAGAATGCTTGAAGGTCAAGAGCTCTGCAGGCACATTGAACAGCACAACGACAGGGATCCCAGCTGCCACAGCAATTTCGGCTGCAGCTTGAACGTCAGGGTCTGAAGCTTTCACAGAATCGCTTGCCCCTGAGGATCCATAGAAACCCAAGGCCACATAGAGGAGACACCAACCCTTGTTTTTTGACTGCTCAGGGGAGATGACGACCAGCGAATGATTCCAAACACTTGGCGACACCTCCTCCGGTAGCCACTCCTGGCTGGTCATTTGCAGCAAGGCAGCTTGCCAATTTACGCCAGCCACTTTGCCTTGTAGCCTGATGGAGCTATCCTTCCAGCCATAATGAGCATCAGGCTGCTGAACATACCGCCTCAAGCATTCCCATCCGGAGCACCCATCTAGCAGCTTTCTGAGGTCACCTTCTATAAGGGATGGTAAACGAGGCGTTGTCGCAGCTTGCAGTGGGGTGCGGCCAAGCTGTAAGTTTTGCTGGAGTAGCTGAAGCGAGGGCTCCTCTGCAAGTGCAGGCTCGCAATCCTCCGCGCATGCCAGCAGAAAGGCAAGCAAAATACATGGTGTAAAGATGTTGCGGTACCCCATCAAGCCACCATGATTAGATCTGGAATTTGCTAGGGCCCTTGACTTGGGCAGGGTTTTCCCTTGGGCCCAACTCAGTGGGTCAGGGTGCATCTGCTCTGGGGAATCACTCCTGCCGCAGACGACATGCTCAAACGGCCAAGGTGCCTGCAGCTCTCAAGGCTCTTATCAGATGGCCAGGGCAGGGTTCACCCCAAGCTTTTATGGCGGATTGACGGAAGGTTCAGCCCATTGAAGCCCTCACTTCAAACTAGTTGGGAGCTAAGATCCTGTGGTGCTGCTGCACCATCCCACCAGCAAACAATGAGACGCGAAGGTTGTCTAGTCTATAGTGATTGCACGTTCACGTCACGGCAAGGCCGAACAACCATTCCCCCAACGCAATTTCGTGGACACACTTTCTTGGCTGGCCCATGCCCGAAGGCATACCGCCATGACAACGGCAATGGCGGCTACTGCTCCTACTGCCACCGCACGACTAACAGCTACAGCAACAAATGCTGCGATACCAACACCGTTATGAAGACTGCTGCCAACTATTGTTGTTGTCGTTGTTGCCGTTGCTGCAGAACCTGAGGTGGCAATCACAACTTCAAAAATGTCGAACCAATCGCCCCAAATTCCCTTCTCGGACCAGGCTCTCGAGGCATTACGTACTGCTAACGAACCCAAGTGCGACTGAAACTTTGCGCTGTTTTCCTGCTTGTGAGACCTGGCGGCAATCAAGGTGCCATTGCAGCTTTGGCATGGCATGCGCATCTTCACCCAAGTCCGCCCTCAGCAATTTGTTGATGGGCGACCTTCCTCCTTGCGAATCATACCAGTAGCTCATGACTGAATATGTTCCCCTGCATGCTAAGCTCAGCACAAATGGCCCATCAGTTACTAGCCGGTTACCGCGCATATTGTTCACATATTTCACATCTGCTCTCAACAGGCCAAGCATCTGTGGGAGTGCTGCGCTCACGTTGTGGGCTGGGTGGGCTGAACCTGATCCAATAACAGGCCTTTGGGGCTTTGCTAATTTATACCTGAGCAGGACTCACAAAAAAGCTAAGGCTCGTTGAGGCACTGTCCAATCCATCCTCAGGCGCAGCCTTGCAAGATTTAGAACACAGCAAGCCTTCTGCTGCACAACTTGAACACACTCGCCTCAATTTCGTCTTAAACAGTTGGAGCTTCCAGTAGTATTCCGTATAAAGTCACTTTGACTTTGTTTCAATTTCTGCGACCGCATGCTTTAACTGACGTTAAATCTAGACGAGTGGGCAACAGGATTTTTGCCAAAGGCCTAGGATGGTGTTGCCCAATTCTTCGTGACATTCCATCTACTTCGGCAGGCGCATCGCACTGCAGGCTCGATTCATGGCCAGGTCTTTTCTTCAGCACTTGAGTATGAAAGGAGGAGAGAAAAATGATGGTGATGATGATGATGATGATGATTGTTAATTCCACGGAATC